ATTTGTATTATAGTTTACCTTTATTATTTTAACGTAATACTTAAAGTAAATAATGTGCGCCCTTATAAATTCCGCAATGTTTGTATATTTATTCGCATTCTGCAGTGTTTTAATAAAATACAAACATAATTTACTACAAAAAAAAAAAAACAAAAGAATAAATAAATATAAAACTTGAAAAGAAAAAAATATAAGTGGAATACACAAATAATTTGATTTTCCCTCGAAATACTTTGATTGTCGCAGAAAAATTGAAATAGCTTAGACTCCAAAAAAAAACGAACAAACTTGTACTGTGGAAATTAAAAAAACATTATATACTATATACCTACCTACGCCGAATTCAATTTATTTTTAATTAGATAAGGTATAATTCATGTCAGAATGAGAAACATTTCATTATCGATTGGAAGCAATCGTTGAAAAAAACCGCAGACACGGGCGTAGGTATATATAGTAATTGGACCGCATCCAATTTCTTAACCGAGTCATGGCTACTACTATCCCCTTTCCCCCCAATTCTTCGTCAAGATCCCGCATCGAGTATTTCTATTAAAATAAAAAAATCTTTAATACATACCTATTACGTTTTAGTTAAACTTGATCGATTCGAAAACAATGTTTTTTAAAAACATTTTTATCATCAGCAAGAATTGCTGTAAACATGAAGGTACGCCTATATCAAAATATACCTACCTGGGGACGTTAAAGTAATAAATCCAATTGGGTAACAAAACAATAGATACAATAAAAACCCTCTATGACATAAACGATATTCACTTGACTTATTGTTTGATTAATATTTACACATAATATTAGCGTTATTAACGCCTTGTAAAATAAGATAGTTAAATAAGATTATTATGGAACACTAGGTTAATAAAATTTAATAGTAATAAAATATATTTATTAGGATCACTTTACTAGTTATAAATTTATAATATTATGTTTATTTGTGTGTTACATCTACGTTTAAATGCCAATTAAAATGTTAAACAATTATATAGTATTAGTTAAAAAATGTTAAATGCATAGACACAGAGTAATAATAGTAATACAACGTACAGAATATTTTTTAAATAAAGAAAAAATAATCTAAGGCCCATATCATAACCTACAGTGTCATGAAAACTCATTAATTAGTGACACGACGAGGCAACAGGGTATTTCACAAATCGCGAAGTAACAATTAGTATAATAACTATAATAAGTACAATAGTTGGGCATTTTGTTGAGTATACACTTTTTTTCAAACAAACATTAACAAGCTACATTTTGATGTATACCATTCAAAATAATATGTAAATGTAACAAATAAAATAATAATTCAGTTCTCTTTCTCAGATATACATATTACATATATTATATTATTAATGCTATTTTTGTGAAGTCTGTGGAAAAAAACAACAATGAAAAAATAAACAATAACATTGAGTACCCACCTACATCGAGCAGTTCCTATATATACCTACAGTTCACGGTTGTTTCGAGTTCCACAAAAATAAAATACAATTTTTAATCGAAATAAAACCTAGCCACAGTCTACAGCCACCAATTATAGTATGATATATTGATATTTAGTTATTATGACACTTATAGTATTACGGTATTTAAGATGTAAGACGATAAATTGTCCGGAATTTTCAATTTCATGATCATTTTCAATGGTTTTAATACTCTTAAATTTTAATATGTCATTTCTAATTACCTATATTATTATACGCATAAGCAAAACTGGTACAAAGTACAAAGTACAAACTTTTAACTTTTAACTTTTCACTTTCAGCTATACCTAATATACTTTTATTAGGTACTTTTAATATTATTATTATACTAATATACTCAACCATAGACTATAGAATAATATTTTGTTCTTCGTTATGTTGTTAATACTTAATAACACACTTAAGTTTAGTGTATTTTAGTTTTGTTTATAAGTACATAGGTATGCGGTAGATTGACTTCTAAAATTTAAACTATTTTCTTAGATAAATGTATATACATGGCATAAACTATATTTTTTACATAGATAGTTTCAAGTTCAATTCGTAACTCTATAGCTGTACACTATTAGTTATAAATGAATCATACGATAAATAAACACGCTTTATGTAACAATTTTAAAATATTACACACCTATTTATACTGGACAATGATCAATTTATTTTTTAATTAGTGAAAAGAATAAGACTGTGGTAGTAGGCTGTTGGTACAGTGCACGTTTTTTTCGTCGTTCAATATTAGTTTGACGTGTACCTATATTATAAATTGGTAGGCACAAGCTAAACTATATGGTCTACTGGATAGTGCAATATATTATTATACTTTCTACACATATTTATTATATTATATTTCAGACGAAACTGTGTTGGAGTTGTGTTAAGTCTTATTAAATAATTCCCAACAACGTAAAATGTGCAATTTAATTTGATCGCTCTAAAAAAAGTGTACAAAGACCGTCGTACAAGCATCACGCATCTGTGGAATTTAATTATGCTTCAATAGGAATATACTATTGCCACAATAAACACCGCTAAGTTGTATTAATAGTTTTTTATACTTGACGCATTAATCGCATTATTATGTAAAATGTAAATATGTATGAATTAGTGAACGCCTCAGAACTCTGTATTATAAAATCTTACCTATTTTCCTTAGACTAAAAACAATCGTCACGTGTACCTGTAGGGCTGTATAGCGTGCACCGCGCTTATACGCATGTTCATGCACATGTATCGTCCAGAAATATATATTATTATAATGGCTATGTAATAAATATTTTACACGTATCAAAATTATAAGTCTTATGGCTCGTAATGAAATATATAATTATAAATTCCTACACAGTTTTAATATTTTACATTCATATCTAGATTTTTTATATTTATTTGTATTTTTTTATGCTGTTACTATAACTTTCGATTAAAACCTATGTATTTACAATTTATAATTCATAATACAATAAGATAACATAAGTGCCCCGTCTTATATAATATAATATATCATACATTTGGGTAGGTACTGCACCTACCATTGTAGTGCCTGACTAAAATCATGTGCACTGAAATATATTTCGAGATTGCCAAATAACAGACAATATTGGAGTAACCCTACATTAGAACGGCCCACAAAGGCACAAACAATAATAAATTCATCTCACACTTTTATTGAATCTAACTCGACCGTTATAAACAATAATATTATTATTATTTATACTTCCAATGGACTTCAGTACTTCACTTACGGTGGTCCAGCTGCGTATTAAAGTTTTTAGTGTTCACTATGAAGTGTGAATTATTGTTAAGATGGCTTTTTTTTCACACCAAAAACGAATACCAGACTCACTCGTGCGTGGGAAAAAATTCAATAATATGTATAATATTATGTTCATTCGTTCGCACATTTCGACATTTGTGGACTGCACTGCGAAAAAACTGTATTAGCCTATAGTATATACCTACGTAGGTACAATCTCGCAAAAAAATATTGTTCATCTTTCGCCGTTAAAATTTAAGAGTCGCACAAGAACCGTGCAGGTATATAATATGGCATCATAACGTACTATAGGACTGTAGTGATTATACACTGTGATTACTACACTGTGTAGTTGTCATTATAATTATTTTATTTTTTCGTGCTTATAGAGGGATGAACCACTTGTGGCCTCACAGTAAAATTCTTAAGAAAAATAACGAACATTCGAGAAAAAATCAAGGTCGACCACAGTAATGATAGCATTATACTTATCGTTATGGTCTGGTAAATATTGCAGCCGTTGATGATATTAACTAACCGTTGTTTGCTGATAATCACCCATGTAGAAATCCCGTATATGTGTGTGTGTGTGTGTGTGTGGGTGGGTGGGTGAGCGTGTGTGAATGAAAGTTTGTAAATCCTTTTTGAAATACCATTTTTATTAAAAATATTTCAACTGTAAAACCATTCTGCCGGAAGTTTAAAAAAGCTATCGAGAAAACTTTTTACATTACACACGTTAAACATTATTACGATTATATTCTAATGTTATATACGTATAATATCAACGAAATTATTAAAAACTTCCTGTAGAATTTTATTGATTCTTGAGAGATTAAATTGGAATATCTATACCAAAATAATAATCATAAAAAATGGTTTTCCCTTTTTTCAGTATATAGGTACATTAAGTATTGTACCAGGTTATTTTTTAATAATAGAAACAAGCGCTATTTCATCAAAACTTGAAGAACAGTGTATATATGAATTAATAATATCATGTACCCCCACTCAATTGATTGTTAATAATATGTATAATAATTAATATTTTAATCTTAAATGCATTTGAGACATGATGAACATTAAAATTAATATAATTTTCATTGAAGAGCACATGTTATATAAAAAAAAGTTTCAAAAACATTTTATACTAAAATTTTATATTTTAGTTAATATTATTGGTATAGATTAAGATTCACCGACATAAAAAATGTTGTGTTAGTGTGTAGGTATAGGACATGACGTTTTTTTTTTCGTATTTGAACTTTTAACGACAATGACTATTGATTTTGATCACAATGAATAATGCAGTATGGAAAAATATACTCATTATACAAAACTTTATAACGGAAAAACTATTTTCTTAAATCTTGTAAGAGCTGAGAATACTAATGGATTTTAAAATAAAAGTTATTTGTAGAAAAATGATTTTAGTTTCACTGCTTTTTAAAATATTAATCGTTTTAATAATATGATCTACAAATGTATCAAATATTTATCTACGCTTCATTGTTTTGCCTTTTATAATTGTATGTGAATAAAATATTATAAGCTAATTATTGTAAAAGTGTACTGTATAGTGTATACACCTACAATAATACGATATCTGCAGTCGAGGATTTAATTTTTTAAAAAGTAATAATAAAGTAGGATAAGGTATAATACATTTTATAATAGGTACTCAATATCTGTTTAACGCTACATTGACAACTGCTTAACTAATATTATTATTAATATGTTTTCAGCGACATGGATTCTGTACTGTGTCGAGATTATGTGACCGGAAGTGGAGAATACAATTCAGCCGAGAACGTGGTAACTAGTCAATTCCGCTACAACACTCTTGGTCATATGAAAATTGATTACTCTTCCAACTGGAATAATCTGGATAAATACATTTGTCAAGTTTAGGATCATATTATGACTTACAACTTATCCATAATATTTTTTTTTTATTTTTACAAGTAATATACAATCTGTATCATTATTGATACAACAAGAATATATGCTAAAAGTACATTCACAGGAAAATAATTGGATAAAAGGAGCCACCCATTGATGACACTTTCTATGGTTATTAATTATTTACTTAAATTATTTATTTATTTTATTTTTTTATATTTTATTGTAACAAATCACGACACCGCTTGCGCTTTAGGCGTCTTGGAGGATTATCTGGTATGGTAACGGAGGCTTATTTTTTGATAAGTGGATTCATTCATCCATTGAGCTATGTAATACATATTAACTGAAAAAAATTATTGATACACCAGTTATCTGTAGTTATGTATAAATGAATATATAATTATTTGTATGACGTATTTAAAGGCTCTGAAAAGTATTCTACACCTAAGTCGTAGCATAGATTAAATGCATACTATATTTAATCAGTGGTAGATAAATTTTCATAAGTGCAACTGCTGTGGGCATGTGGCATGTCCGAAAATATGTTATCTATTTAAACAAATAACAAAATACGAATTTATTTATTAGATACCTAGTATTCATTGTATTTTATCACGGGCAGCAGAAAGTAGCCTGCTCTGTAAATATTTTCTAATTTAAAAATGCTCGGTAATGGCATCTGAATTATACCATCGTTTTTAATTAGTGAACCCTCGCGAGACACTGCAGTAAGTATTATATATTATATATAACTGCCTGCCCTTTGAACCCCGTAAAAAATATATACTGATATACCTAAGTATATTGAAATAAAGAAAAACAATAAAATAGCAATTTTAACATAATTACATAATTAATACATATTTAAAGAAACACGAATTACCAACGGAGAATATTAATTGATAAATAAATCTAATGTAAAAAAAATTTCAAGACTGTCATTTGTTAGCTTTCATTTGATTAATTAATAAAAGCTACAAGTAAACTTAATTAGATGGTGGACGGAATGTAATCATTGCTGTATTAGAAAACCACAGGCACATATCAGAACTTAATTTAATAATATTAACTAGACATAAAGAATAATAATTGGTTAGTAAATTTATTTTAATTTGACTATTCGTGGGATTATTCGTACTGTTATTTTATAAGGTTTTTAGTATTGAATATTTATATTTAAAGTGCATTGCTGTACAGTAATAAATTGGAGATCTTGTGAATTTTGAACTTGAAATTTGTTTTACATTTTTCATTTCAATCTCATTACTTTGATATGTAAAGTAGTACTAAACAGTACCAACAAATAATCATATTTATGACATAAGGTTCAGAGGTATTTTATACTCAGTATTTACTGCAAAAGATCCTTTTTCATTATTATTCTCAGTCTTTGTCACTTTTCACTCTCCCTCACTAAGTATAGTTATTATTTACTATAGTAAAAATCCTTCCACGTCTGTATCACGAATGCCATTTGTTCTTTTTTATTTACTATTTTTATGCCTCTAGTATAATACATGATCGATCGTCTTTTAAAATATTTCATGTTATCTTCTTTAAAATGCTACGAAAAAAGATTATTTTTTAATTAAGTTTAAAAATTTTAATTGAATACAATACATTTCAATGAAAACCAATTTAATATCAACTGGTATTTTAATAATATGTATTGAAATAAATCAATAAAAATAAATGTTTTATTTAAAAACTTAAAATACCTACTCAATTACATGAAAACATGTAAATATTTATAGATAGATTTCATAAAACTTCCCCTAAAAAAACTTTGAAACCAAAATAAGCAGTAGCATCACCAGATCAGTTTAAAATATAAAAAATAAATTAAAATAGGTTATTATTTATTTATTACTTAAACCAAAGTAATAGTTTTTCAACATACTTTTGATGGTCTAGAAAACTTAATTTTTCTATTAATTGAAATGTACTATATTGGATGCATTATTAAATTGTGTAATACTCCAATAATACCTATGTTAATTTGATATTTGCCGACAACCCTTATATTATTTAATCAAATACACATAGAGTTACGAAATGTTTATCAATATCGGAGTAGTAAATAAATGCATGCATATTGTTCATATAAATTACCAAAATATATTATTGTGTTCAATATATCAATGTTAAACATAACATTTTTGGAATATGACTAAAATAATTTATAACAGTATGTAAATTTAAAATAACTCAACTTCTTAATAATTTCGTACAATATTCGAAAATAAAATATTTCACTCGTAAAAAAAACAATTAGTATTATTACATCGTATTTAACTATTGATTTATGTAGTTTAGAAAAGACGATTAAAAAATAATGTTTTTATCATTTTTTATGTACTTAAAATAATGGTACCTACGTATACCATTATAAACATAGTTTTACACGTCTGACTTCACGACCATAAATGAATAAATTTCATCTCAATGACAATGTTACTTTTATTACCTTATGTATTCAATTTTAGGTCACGTATACATTTTAAGGAAGAAACAGAAGCCATGCATATTGTATAATAAAATGAATCGATGATTTAAATTTTTAATACTCCGTATATATAAATAATGTATTATGTGTATAGGTATACCTAGTATCATTGACTAAAGGTTTATATTTTAATCAATGCTTAGTACCTACTTTAATTATTTGAACAAAAAAATACAGTTCTATCTAACTGCTTTTCAAACAACACAATTTTTGTGTTTGTACAAGCACGTAATATATTAGGTGCACTGCATAAATTGTGGCCGTTAAGACAGTGAAAGACAGAAAAAAATTTGTTTCTAAGATATAATACAGGTAAGTCGAAATAGTAAAATCTATATCGATTAACTATATTTATGGATAAAAATAACATTACCATATGGTCGATCGTCTAAAAATTATTCCAGCACATCCCACCGCAGTCGGGTTTACATGCATTTTGAATGATGTGAGACACGAGGATCTGTGGAATATCCTAAGCAAAATGTAAGAAAAATAAGCATTTTAAAGAACGATTAAATTTTAATGTCCTAAAAAAAGGTCATTAGTAAGGCTCGGATATAAATTTCCTAAAAATTAAAAACTAACGACAATGCTCTAAAAAAATAGCCAAAAGTACCTTTTGACCTCAAAAATGTAGTTAAAAGAATAATATTAACTAAAAATGTTTTTAGATTCTGAGAAGAGTGGTATTGTATTGATTTTATAATGGTGAGTGTATTTTGTGACTGCCATCAACTTTTAAGTAAAAGTAAAAGTGCTTCGATTTTCTACTTCAGCTTCTTTTCCGGTAAGAAAGTTAATCTAGGTACCTACTTTGGGGGAATGCCAAGTAATTAAAGACGAATGGATTATTGTTTATTGCCATAGAAATCTTAGTGTCGAGTAAGTCACGCTTGTTAAGTTTTTTGGGCGTAACGGCTGAGTCCATGAATCTGACTAACGCTACAGCGCCTAAAGGTGTTTCTCTTCAAAAAATGTTGTTTAACGTGTTAAATACCTAGATAACCACCTCATAACACATACGATATTAATACATTATTTTATCTAGGTACTATAAATACAATTTAGTTACTATTGTTTTTTTTAACTGAAGATAATGAAGATATTATACTAATTAAATAATATTACACAGTTATACCATATTAAAACATTAAAAATACTTTAGAATTTGAATAAAAATTAATTAATTTGCAGTCTTACATAAAAAATGGAATAATAACTTATTGACTTAACAATTTATTATTTTTTTTGTTTTTTTTATTTGAAATAAGCCTCGGCAACTATGGCCATTGGTAACAAAGAGTTTAACTCTAAATTGTTTACATATTATATGTTACATATTAAATATTATTGATAAGGTTGGATTTAAAAATAAATGTTATAATGTGTTTTTGGTGTCCGGGGGAGGGCTTCTGGTAGAATGTTTGAGATGCCTGCTTCTCGTCTATCCGATTCGTATGAAAGGCATTCAGTTAAGATGTGTTTGATTGAGAGGGGAATACCGCAGTTGGCACATTATAGGGGTGGGTCTTCCTACAATTTATTTTACATAATGCTCAAATACTTGTAATAGCACCAAGTGTGCTAAAACATTTTAAATTATAATGAATGAAAAAAAGGGCCCCCTAGAGAATTTGGGCGCCAAGTGCAAGTGCGCCATCTGTACTTGCTTAAATCAAGTCCTATAGGTATCTTTATCAAATTTGTAGAGTGGCGCTGGCAAATTGATCCCACGTCATCGAGATCCCAGGACCTTTCTGATAAGAATTTATAAACACCTATCAGGTTTTTAAAATCTAAAACCTCACTCGACTCGTTATTGCAAAACCACCATGGGTAAATAGATCCAGTTTGTTACCATAATATGTATGGGATCTCGTTGAACCTGGTCCTATTTTTTCATACTCCATGCGTATTATACATTATTTTTTTTTTATGAATAAGAACTACACTATTGTATATTTAAGTTTTTAATACAAACATTATTATCCACGTTTATGGTTGTAAATCAAAAAACAACGTCAAATATTAAAATTGTATTTTTTTTTTTTTTTTATCACCATTTAGACCACTATTCTTTGATTTTGTCTAATAAACATTTAACGTGGCGGACAATCATTAAAGAATCGGTATGAGTACGTGAATTAATAATATTATAAGAAGCCTATGACAGATTTGACCTATAGTCTAATCCAATGAAGTTTTTCCGTTCTTAACAAATACCGCGGCCGTTGCCATGCGATTGATAGGCATTCTATGAACAATTCGATATTATACGCATAAGGCATAACATATAATATGGAGTATATAATATAGAGCAGGTACCTATATTATTATGAACGACCAAAAAACGATCGATATAGAGGTTTAAATCGGATTTCACGAGCGTTAAAACCATATAACGCCTGCAGCACCGCGAAAGGTATTGTTGTCTTGTTCGTTGCAGTGTTATCTCGAGTGGATTAAGGTCGTGCATACGTATCTCCGAACTGCAGCCACTTGTCCGCTGGTCGGTGACGGTGGTTTTGCACCGGGTATACACGTGCGCTATACATACATACGCAGCCCGAGGATGTCCGAATATTAAATTTTAGGTCGAACACACCTCATCAGCGTGTTGCAGTACAGACGACTGTTGTACAACACTCGACTTTATGCAGATCGAACGATATAGCTACTGTGTTTCATGCCTAACTCGTATAACTGCATAAATGTGTCTGCGTGCCACGTGCGAAAAGCTTTACACGAAACGGGTGTCGATCTAAAAATGTTTTCCAGATGGGTTTCGAGGATTGCGGGGGTAATTATCGGCACTCTGAGCGAACTATCACGACGGGTTCTCCGTCACCGTGTCTATATTAAATTGTACAATACAGTACGTGACCTATTTCATTAGATCTCATTTGTTCCGTCGAGAGGCGGCGAGTGCCTTTTTCTAAATTTTGCAGACATAATGTAATCTCATGTGCATTTTGTCATGGACGTTTGATGTTCTTTGTGCATAACTTTTTATTCGATCAGCGTGAAAACTTACGGAAATTGTGTCTTTTTAAAGATAACAATTTTTGAATAATATAGAAA